TATACCATGACAGTTCACGAATTGTAAATGTGCTAACATGTATAAACACAACGAATTAAAAGTGCTAGTATACGTTGTTGATACATGTTGGTTTTTATACCGTTATTGATTAGCTCAGTGGCACTCCGATTACATGATATCTCTCGGATAGTTCTGCGAGAAGAATGTTCATATATTTTTCCGGTAAAATGTAAGCCTTCCCGGCAGATTTATGGACGAAAGTTCACAGACTAATATCAGTGGAAATTCTTCATATTATTATTGTTATTGTTGATGTTATTATTGATGTGTGCAGCTAGTTATTTTGGGTGTCATGTAGATTTTCCTCACACATCAAATATATTATCAATATGCTGTGCTTGCTTAAGTCTCGTTACCGCATTTTTCATAATTCAGAGCTAGCTATGAATAAACTGATAGCTGATTCTCAAGTACTACTACTAGAGAATCTCATTTGTAGTTGGGCCGATGATACTCTAGCTGTAAATACGCTGCTAAACGAAGCAAGCTATCAGAAGAGTGTTTACCAACGACAAACTCGTTGGGTTTAAACTTCTGGCTAGTCATGTCTTAGGGGCATCACTACCTCACTAGGGGGGAAGTGATCTGTAGCTGTAAATAATTCCCCAAAATCAATAGCTCATTAAGTGTTCGACATTGGATGCTGACCGCGTTGTTTAAGTGGACTTGTTTAGCTAAAGGCTTTCGGTCATGCATCCGCACCAGATCACGTTTCAACTCGGCGTGGGACACTGCTCCTACGTTTCTATAGCCAGATTATAGTAAAGGTTCCTCGATATATTGGTAACGTATCAAATATATCTTTCCTACCTCTTCTCGTCTGACTTCTGATTTCCTCTGGCCAGGAACAATCGATTATAGAAGATACTACTGGTTGCTAGTTGTAAAACTAGAATATCCGTCGTATACTTCAATACTAGTTAATCAGCCCCAAATGACTAACTCTTCAAGTGCTTGCAAAATAAATTTCCTGATGAACAGATAACCATTTACTTGAAGGCGATCCGTTGTTACTTTGTAACATGTTCTAGACTATTGGTATGAGTACTTGGAGACAATATACACATCGTTTGCACTAACAAACGACCTTGGAAACCGGATATTTAGTGGCAAGCTCACCCTTTTTCATAGCTGCCAGCTGTATAGCAGATGTAAAACTTTGCTCAATAAAGTAGTGACCACTTGTTATATCTCATCCTATCACAGATTCCCACAAAACGTAGCCAGTGATCATTGACAACTTTTATTGAAAAATATTCGGTTTTCTAGTGCAGAATATATAATTAGAATGGAATGACTAACAGTATATAAAACATAGTAATAACATATCTTTAGAAGATAAGATATATTACATTGTGTAATGTTCGAAATAATATACTCAAATTTTTCTGACTAACACGTTTTGCATATTATATTTGCGAAAATGACAAAATATATTTTAAGAATAACTCTTTTGAAGATGCTAAACATGAAATTATCCAATGAACATTTGGAACGTGAATATAAGTCATTGTATTATTTCAGCTGTCCATATTCTGGGTGATAGATCTTTTGAGTATCACTATTGAGGTAGTTTATGTCCTTCCTTAATTCTGAAATTAAAATACAATGTTCTGGGAAACTGCAGTCTGATCAGCCCTAATGGGTTGGTGTCAGACGAAATCTCAGCACGGATTCAAAAAGCTCGTTTGGCTTTTGCCAACTTACGTCACCTATGGCGTAGACGAGATATCCGTCTATCAATTAAGGAACGAGTATACTGCGCAGCAGTTCGCTCTGTCCTACTTTACGGCTGTGAAACATGGCCATTAAGAGTAGAAGATACTCGTAGGTTACTAGTATTTGACCACAGATGCCTTAGAAATATTGCTCGCATCTGCTGGGATAACCGGGTAAGTAATAGCGAGGTTAGACGCAGGGTATTAGGGAATGATGGTAAATCAGTTGATGAGGTGATGAATCTTCATCGACTGAGATGGTTGGGCCATGTGTTACGTATGCCTGAACACCGATTACCACGACGCGCTATGATGACTAGTATTGGGGACGGTTGGAAGAGAGTTAGGGGCGGCCAAACCAAAACATGGCATCAGTGTTTGAAGTCACTAACTTCTAGCCTGAGCCATGTTGGCAGATGCAGACTACTTGGTTGGGGTCCGCGTGACTATCGTAACCAATGGTTGGAGACTCTAGGTGACATGGCTCAGAATCGGTCACAATGGCGTAGGTGTATACACTCTTTATCTTCCCTTAAACCTTGAGACTAAAATTGCTTCATATCTCTCTTCCTTCCTGTACTATATCCTTATATACAACCTATAATTTATATACTACTACCAACACTAGATTAACCACTATGAATCCGGTGTTCCTCTTGTTGTGCTAACGAGGTATGGCAACTTGGACCGATGCATATATGTGCCTGGTCCTACGTTGTAGCTGACCTGACCTGGGAAACTGCTAATTTACCACTCATTTTTGCTTATCCTGTGTTCTAAGGCTGCTCACAGAACTTTGGAGCACTCTAAAAACTTAATATTGGTATTAAGAATGACTTAGCTCAGAATTCGTGATTAGTATTTCCACCTGGGCTCTTCTAGGACTCTTACCAGCCCTAAGACACGGTGAGGGAGAAAGGAGGGTTAGGCAGTGGATCAGCAACCGCATCTCGTAGATAACAACCTTGTCAGAAAAGCACTAACCAGAATAAACAAATTTAACCATTTAAACTCTGTCCTTCGAGTTGGAGGAAGAAATATAATGCCTCATCGTGAAAGTTGAGATTCTTTGGAATTCAAGAGACCGATGACCCTTCTAACAACCAGAGCAATAACTAATATAGGTACAAGGAATGTTCGGACAGTGTTGGACACCAGGAGAGTTAATCAAATAGCTATGTAAATGAGGAGATACAACTTGACGGAGTTCGGGTTCAGTCAAACTCACTGGACCAAAGCTGAACAGAAAAGGATAGATTGAGCAGCGATGCTGCTGTATTCTGATCACGAAGAAGAAAATGCTCCACACAGTCAGGGAGTTGCTCTGATGCTGTGCAAAGAAGCACATGGAGCACGTGTGGATGGGAATCTCAAGGATCATCAAAGCATCTTTCAAAACAAAGAAGAAGGGGGTCACAATGAATGCTATGGACCAATAGATGATAGCAGCGACAGGAATAAAGATTAGTTTTATGAGAGGCTGAAATTGATAATAGCGAAGTGACCAGGAAAGGACTTGACAATCCAGATGGGAGACCTAAACATCAAAGTTTGAATGGACGACACTGAGTATGTAGATATGATGGGATGCGATGGACTGGGGACTGGGAGAATGGAATGAGAACGGTGATAGATTTGCAAATTTATGTGCGTTCAACAAAATGGTTATAGGCGGCACAATATTCCCTTACGAACACAGATTCAAGGATACATGTGTCTAACCATATCACACTACAGAGAGTTAGATTGATCATATTTGCATCGTTAAAAAATTCAAATAAGAGGAATCTAGTACGTTGGGCAATTGGAAGAGGATCAAAGAAGCACTAACTTCAAAGTGTCAGGAGATTCTGGGCCACATCGGACATCATCATAAGGAATGGATCACTGTGGAAACACTGGACAAGATTTAAGAAAGGAAGAACAAGAAGACATCAATCAACAGTAGTCGAACAAGAACAGAAAAAGTCCAGGCAAAAGCTGAATACACAGAAGCAAACCGTAGAGTGAGGGGGAGTATTAGAACCTACAGGCAGAAATACGTGGAACAGCTAGCAACGACAGTGGAAAAAGCCTCAACAGAAGGAAACATCGGACAACTGTATGACTGAACGAATAAACTAACAGGCAAATATAGTAAACCAGAGGGATCGGTGAAAAACAAAGAAGGCAAGACAGTCACCGAGATTCAGAAGTACGGGAACAGATAGGTAAAACAGTGAGAAAGCTGCAGGACCTGAAAACATATTAGCCGAAGCACTAAAGTTACACATAGAAGCAACTGCAAAGATGCTCCACATTATATTGAGGGAGATTTGTGGGGAAGAACAGGTTCCAACAACAGACTGGAGAGAAGGATACCGCATCAAGATTCCAAAGAAAAGAGATCTGAGAAAGTGTTAGAACTATAGATACACCACACTACTATTGTCACCAGGAAAAGTTTTCAACAGTGTTGCTGAACCGGATGAAACATTCAGTAGACGCTCAGCTTGGAAATCAACAGGCTTGATTCTATAAGGATCGGTCGTGCATATAAGAAATCGTGACACTATGGATCATCGTTGAATAATCAATTGAATGGAACTCGTCACTATACATCGACTTCCTCGAATTTGAGAAATCATTTGATAGCATGAATAGGATGACCTTTTGTAACATTCTTCAACATTATGAGGTGAGTAGCTGAGAAGATCATCAACATCATCTGGAATTCATACGACGGACTACACTACAGATTCGTGCATGAAGGATAGCTGATAGACGCATTCCAAGTGAGGACCAGAGTAAGACAAGGCTGCCTACTCTCCCTTTCTTTTCTTTCTTCTAGTGGTTGACTGGATTATAAACACCACATCTGAGGGGAAGCACGGAATACAATGGACAACTTGTATGCAAATAGACGATTTGAACTTCACAGATGAGCTAACTCTTCTATCCCATAGATATGAACAAATGCAGATGAAGACAACCAGTGTAGTAGCAGCCTCACACATACACAAGGTAAGAAGCAAGATACTCAAATGCAACATGGAGAAGACTAGGCCAATCACACTTAATGGACAAAGTCTGGAAGAGGTGGAAAGTTTTGCATACTTATCTGGACAGCATCATCGATGAACGAGGAGGATTGCATGCAGACATAAAAGCAAGGATTGGCAAAACAAGGTCGGCATTCCTACAGTTGAACAACATATGAAACTCAAAACAAATGTCAACCAATATCAAAGTCACAATCTTCAACACGAACGTCAAGACAGTTCTACTGTATGGAGCTGAAACTTGGAGAACTATTAAAACCGTCATCAAAAATGTGCAAGTATTTCTAAACACTTGTCTACTCAAGATACTCACTGTCGGTTGTTGGCCGGATCCCATCAGCAACAGCCTACTATGGAAGAGAACAAGCCAGGTAGTAGCTGTGAAGGAAGTCTAGAAAAGACCCTGGAATGAGATAGGATACATAGTCAGGAAATCATCAAACTGCAACACGACGCAAGCGCTAACTTGAAATCCTCAGGGGAAAAGGAAGAGAGGAAGGCCAAAATGCGCACACTGCGCCGAGCATTGGACGCAGACATGAATGAGATAAACACGAACTGGACACAACTGGAAAGGATTGCCCAAGACGGAGTTTGATGAAGAATGGTGGTGGATGGTCTATGAGGAGTAACAGGCGTAAGTAAGTAAAAATATTTCCTGGTGTTTATTTACTGTATATCTGAATTGTCAGTTAATTTGGTTTGAAGTTGGGAAAAGTATCTTCACATTCTTATCTCGGTAGTCTAGTTTAGGGTTTAAATATAGCATCTTACTTCACAAGAAGCGTTTTGGGTATAAAATTCCACAGAAGTAATAGTACTCGTTTTGTCGAATACCTATACAAATTAAGCTCTTGGAAAATAACTACGAAATGAAACATTTTAATTGCGCGAAATATTTATTTATCCGATCATTGTATTTATTATAACCTATGTTTATAGGATATTTTCATAAGTGGGAGACGCTTCGTTTATCTTCAGAAATAATGCATAAGATACGAAACATTGTGACTAAATTAACCCTTGTCTTAATTTTGATGGTTGTTCAACAAATATTATCTTAATAAGGGGTCTATCTTATTTCCTTTGCAAAAATATGATTATTCATTGGTTAGCGAACCACATTTATTTCGCATTGAAATTATGTAAACAATTCAACAATTGCCTCTTTTATCATATTTGTAGCAAATTAGTTGGTACCGTACTGTAGACAAACAACAAATCTCATCTGGTAGTACACTTAAAGATCCTGTTCGTCGTGGTCCTCATGGTGTCAGCAAATACGCAGTTAGGTTTCTACCTGGAAGGCCCAGCTATGCACCTAATATGGTTGGTGTTGACGTAAACAAACTACGTACCTACCAACTGATTGTTCGATTTGTAGATATTAATGATGCTGATACACAATTCAGATGTGTTATTGAATTGAGTAAGTTTAGTATAACATTACTCATTTTAAGAAAATTTCACAAAACCTTTCATTACTTTGGAATAGTTTTTAATTTATGTGGGTGAGATTTTTATGAACTCAATTTCTTTTTTGATTCCTTGATTCGCGGTGAAAGTCATGAGGATGGGAATATGAGCATTGTTTTGTTTTCTTCGTACTTACATCACCATAGCTGGTTAATGATATTACTGTTTCCTTTAACCTGTAATACTACATGTTGGAAGTTTCAACCTACTACTTACCGTGTTTTTCAATAACTGTGTTTTGTATTACCTTTCTTATCTATTCTATACAATCCTGTGAGCAGGATCGTGGATGCGCACTTCTGAGGAGTCCCATGCTAGGACGAAACGGCCGTCCAGTGCTTTCAAGTTTTCCATAGTGGTCTATCTTAAATCTACTTATGAATTCAACCATTAACTTACTAAAATCTCCACAAAACTCCCTTTCAGATAATAATCTTCAAACTATTAGATTATTTTGTCAAACTATTTATCGTATCTTACTTTTATTTAAACCAAGTTTGCTTGATGAAAAAGAGTTTCATCATCAGGTTTAGGGGGAAATGACTTATATTTCCTTTGTTTCATTATCTTATTCCCATTTTGAAGGTTCAGTCATAGTTCTCGTGTCTTCCCACATCTATCTAACAAAAGTGAATAATTTCCTTTACATTGTTTACTAAAATGTCGAGTCACCTTAATATTTACAGAATACTAACCATGTACTTTTGATAACTAACAAAGAATAGGTTTCATTTTAAAACCTTTTTCAATCGTAGCTTAATTTGTTTTTACGTTTATATTTTGTATGCCCATAAACTTTTCCACTCTTTTTTTAAAAGTTTACACTAGAATCTATTTCAATTTTATACTATAGTTAAAAATACTGTCAAGACCAGCTTAACAGTGAAGATGATTAGCCGTCGTACATTTATTCAATACGCACAAAGCTTCTATAACTTATCGTTATAAACAATCACTGATAACTTCAGACTATTAAATAATCGTTGGAATCTATTCTAGTACCCTTTTTAATTATAAACTCAATAGTTCATTGATTTCTCGTTTTAATAGTATTTAATATTTAAACTTAATTTCACAGTTTCATCAAGGTTATTTATCACTGAAATAGTTTTTTAAAATTTGTTTGACTTTCGATTTTTCAATTTATTGAATTCCAGGAACTACACCAGTTGATCAGTGGCCTGTAGCATATGGGAATATTATTGTGAAACGCGCTCCTGAAATTCTCCCGGGGTTGACATCTAAAATAGTGACAGAAGGAGACTCTTTAACGTTAGTTTGCCGTGCACAAGGCTCGCCACCACCGATGATAAGTTGGACTAGAGCTAATGGAAGGCCTCTATCTCTTCCAGGTTCACCACAAAGAATTTATGTATGTTCTATTGAGATCTTCCTTATTTTTTAAAAACAATGACTGAATTTAAGCTATTCTCAAGAAAAGCTATTGAGCTCATAGTTTTATCTATGTTACACATCAAGTGTTAAAACTGGTTAGATTTTAACTTATGTTTTATTGAAATTGATTGCCTAGGTTACATTAACATTCAGTATTACTAATAATTCTTTTTAAGAATTCAACACTACATATTCCCCGTGTTGATCGTTATGATCGTGGTATTTATCGATGTTACGCAGTTAACAACGTAGCTGGGTCGGCTGAATATGATGTAATGGTGGAAGTTAATTATGCACCACATGTTCGTGAGGCTCGGTTCAAAGGAGCTTATGGACAGGTAAATATTACTATTGCCCTTAACGATTTGATATTGCAAATAACTTACTTTTGATAAATAAGCAAATTTTACCCTATAAGAAAACTTTGAATTTACTGAAGAATGGTCCTTTATTGGTCACTGATGGGATTTCTTAAAAGATATTTTGTTGAACAAAGGCAAAAGCATTCCATTGATAATTATGAGTTAGTGAAAGTTAAACTAAAAGGGAACATGGATCGAATGGCTAAAACCTCTTAAGATTGCCTGTGGTGGTTTTTGTTTTGAATACAGAAAGGCATTCACAATTAGTGTTGATTGCCTGTCTAATGGTTCTTTGAATGATATAAGTTATATTAAGCTAAGTATTTTACATTCTGAAAATATAGAAGAGATGTTTTGATATGTTAAAAACCTCTTCAACGACTTTTATGGCTAGGATTTCAAGTAGTAACTAAGTTGCTTGACTACTGTGGGTTGATCTTTTCGTGTTTCACCTGTAATCGAAATGTTATGGTACGGGCGACCACTTGTCTGATCTTCTACTGTGGTTCCATTCTATTTCTATTGAAATAAAAACCACTGTAGCAATCTTCGTATACTTTGTCTTGAAAAGTAGGTATTGTTTCATCACTATTAAGTAGCTTTGTTTTTATTTTTTCATATCTATAAAATTCTTATTTAGGCGCCAGATGGAAATTATGATATGACATTAGAATGTATTGTCAATGGATATCCTGATCCTGATTTATTATGGTATACTGGAATTTATGATCCAATAACTAATAATAAACCCCTATTTGATAATAATCGTTATGAACTTGAAAAAGCTCAAAGTTATGGTTCAGCTGGTACAAATGTAAGCTTTGTACTCGTTTTCATCGTGTACTTAATTCAAATGAATACTATTTGATATGCTGTTCTTGTTTACCAATTATTTATCTTATTGAGATCACAATCTGATCTAGGTTAAACAACCATTAAAAGTCTGGAAGCCCTAGACTGCCGTTTCGTCCTACTACAGAATTTCTCAGCAGTTCCCATCGACGACCAGGAAACTGAGGATCGGTCCCAGGACCTTCGATCTCACTCGCAGACGTTTGACTTCTATCCATCCACAGTATTGGGCGACCATTTGTTTTCTTCAGTGGGTACCTTCCTTACACCCAATACTGTCGAAGTAAGACAAAACGGCCGTATATTGCTCCCAGGTTTTCAACGGTTGTCTAACTTAGATCGGCTTATGACCTTAACAGAATTGGTTTGAAGCAAAATTAAACCATTAATATACTCCGTGCAAGTCAAAATTGATGATTTAGACGTAAAGTGGTTAACTAAAGTAGTTTGGTCTATCAGTTCACTGGTTGAAATTGATATAATTTGGAACTAGATAAATAACGAAATAAATTGAAAACAGAATAATAGGGAGTGCAATTTTAGGGTAGAAATAAATTTGTATTTTCCTCTGATTGATTTTTCATTCATGTGGCTTGATGTCTCCAACGACTTGTATCTGGAAATTGTTGGCCGATATAATTTCACGTATATCAGAATAAATCAGTGGCTTAATCGACCATTGGGATCGTATACTTTAGAAGCCTCAATTTATTACAACAGAGTTCTGTTTAATACCTTTTAATTTTATATAGTATGATTAGACTGTGCTTAATTTGCTCTCAGTTTTCGTGGAAAATATCTAACGCAATCTACTTCACTAACAAGTTCATCCCATCAATGAATCCTGAATTCAAAAATGAACAATATTTGAGCGAACAATTGTTTTCAATAACTTCATCATCAGGCTCTACAGTTATAAGTCCATAATTATTATAATATTTTACAAAGTCCAAAATGAGGCATGTATTAATTAATTTGACAATGTTATATATTAAAAATGGTAAACGTTTGCATCTGTTACGACATATATATACTTTAAAATTGTGTTATTTGTAAATTAGAAAGGTCATTTAATAAAGGTCAAAGTGATTTGTAGTCAAGTGTCTAGTCACAATTAATATAATAGTAATTTAGGAAAAATGAAAATGCAAAAAAAATTTGTGAATAGAATTTATGGTAGGATAATTTCATCTTGTCAATTGAGATAATAATGATAAATAGTAATAATAATAATATTGTTGTGTGAATATAATACGTAATAAAAGGGGGATGTTATCAAGATAATTACGATAAAGGAATTGGGAATGATGGATGTGAAGATTAATATAGAGGTGATCAACAAAGAAGAGAGAAAAAAAAGGAGGTTTATAATATTTAGTTTAGGAAACCGGTGATCCAGTCGTAGGCCAAGGTAAACATAGTGGCTGGATATACTTTTTTTGGATGCATAAGTTTGGTTTTCTAGAGTTGATCCAGATGGCTTCGGCTATGTAAAGTAATCGTAATCTAGCTCTTTGAGGTAGAGTTTTCGGAACTTGATATAAAACAGAGAAGACTTCTTCTATTTTGATATGATGTTCACTGTCTACCAAGTGAGAAAGGATGGCGCTGTTAATGGATTTAGTGACTCCTTTTCCCAACCATGCTGGTACATGTTCATTTTGTAAAATATTATAATAATTATGGACTTATAACTGTAGAGCCTGGTGATGAAGTTATTGAAAACAATTGTTCGCTCAATTATTGTTCATTTTTGAATTATCTATGGGGATTTTTAAACTACTAGAATCCTGAATTCTTTATAGGGCAGTATAGTTTAGCGTTTGAATTTAAAAGAACTAAAAGAACCTATTGCATCATCGTTAAAAAAACGACTGTTTTACAAAGTTATACAACCAAATTTATATTTATTTAACATGTTTTGCAATCTGTTATGAAATAGAGTGGGACTAAGGAATAAATAGTTTGGAAATTTCAAGGAATAAAGACCAAAAGCTTTCCTATTTTAAACCCTTTTTAGTTATTTATTAACTAAAGCTTAAGCTCTGTGTACAAAAGCAGTATATTCAAACTCTTATTTTACTATGCTTCTGAAACTCCTTTCATTTTTTAAAAAGTGAATAATCATTAACTTTTATTATTCTAAATCTCTCATGCCTATTAGCTAATTGTTATAACCGCCCTCATTCTAGTATTTACAATATATTTTGTCTTCACTCTCATAGTCATCAAGTAGACAAAAATCTTCCACACTTCTTACCCATAATTCCCATTATTTTGAATCTAACTGTAGTCCATTAGACAATCTCCTTTAGGCACTTAGGACTACCAAACATTGTGATACAATGTCATTTTATTTCGCATACATGTTAAACAACCATAAATGATGTCGAAAATTTCAAACTTTGTGTTCAACCAGCTGTTTATTTGATTACAGTTATCTTCGCAGTTTTCCTACCTAAATAACTTTTAGATGTGGTGGTATCGTAAATCAAACTGCTAAAAACTCTGAAACAAACTTCTTAACCCTTTGCTATCTGTTTTTATTTCAATGCATGACTGTTGAGAAAATGACTGATTACCTTTTGTGTGTAATACTGATTACTGTAAAAGTAAATGAATCCAAGTATTCGGCTAATAGTAAATTGATAAATGGGCAATTGTTCCTCAATACCAGTTGTCTTGAATTTCATAACGTCCAGAACAAAGTAAAATAATTATTCAAAAGGTGTTGTTCACTGGTAAATCGATATCGCCTTGGAGAGTAAGTTTCTAGAACAAGATGTTCTTGTAAGTTGTCGAAATTTTTACTTCAATATTTTGTCGGAAACTTTGTTAGATATTCACTTGGTGAATATTTTCCTGTCACTTAAAAAGGATTTTGATGTTGTTAGAAAAAAAAGTATTCAACACAAATAATAATTAGTTACAGATTAATAGAATCTACTCATAAAGTGCACAATGTCGAATGTTTGGACTATCTTGCCTGTGCTTATTTCTTCTGTTCATGCTTTCCCTATTTCCAGTACAAGTATTATAACCGAATATAGATGTTTTCAACTTCGATTCAGTAATTCGATTAATCTATTTTTTTCTATTTTAGTAATTGAATATTAGCTGTTGAGGAAAATATTTCAACTACACATTAGAATTACTTTTGTCAACTTTTTTTTTCAAAAATTCACTTCAAATTTAGGTAACTGATGTTTTTTCAACGTTACTAATCCGTAATGTACGAGTTGGTGATTATGGAAATTATTCTTGTAGAGCGGAAAACAAATATGGATCGAATTTTGTTGTACTTAGTTTATTTTGTAAGTTCAGCATAGAAAATTACAGTTTAATTTCGGCTATTAAATAAATTGATTACACTAGATGGTTCATTTTGAAAAGTTTTTCTTATTCCTACTTTCATGTTCGGACAGCGATTCAAAACCACTGGTCAGGACAGGATGGGATAACCAAAAATTTATCTCAAAGAACCAATTAGAAAAGAGTTATGCTTTGAGCCAAACATATTGTAAACTCATTTTAATATAATACCAGGCTGACATAGAGGAGAGATTTTAATTAGTTATTTTATAAAGTACAACTAATCCATGTCCAAAATTAAAATCAAATTGAGTAGCTTTTCGCTCTCAAGTATGTATATTAACGTTGAATCAAGGAAAACCAATTTCAGAAACATTCATGTTCCATTTTATTACGTTTGTGCTTCAGACTATTATTCAAAGATTAATGTTTTGATCATGAAGCCTAAATATCTTCTGTGACGTTTGAAAAGATTACTTTAAAGGTCACTAAAGTATTCGAGAAATAGCAAAGATATCTAAGTAGCACTATGCAATTTTTATAGTTCATTTACAATCGTTCACGGTGCAAATTTACAACAGGATAACCAATCATTTAAACTGAAAATTATTTTCACAAATCAAGGTTTATTAAATGTGGCTGCATAGAACCAATGTCTTGATGGCTCATGTATAAAATGTATAGGAATGTTCCATTATTATTTGAAACGTTGAATTTCTTTATAAAGGTTTATTTCTTGGATGATGTCATGTTATCAAAACATGTTTGCAGTACGTTTTCTCACTTATGTCATTTTCATTTAAATTTTGATAACTCAAAATACCTTAGATAGTAAATTGTCATTGAATTTGAATCACTATCATTTTTTATTAGTGACGTAACATTTTAATAGCCTAACGTGATCTGAATTTCGATAGAGCTCCATATAAATTACTTGATATTTTCTTATTCAGTTCAGTCTCCACATAGTCTTTCGTTTCGTCTCGAAAGCTTATATTTCATCTGAAAAATGGTTGTTAGAAATAACAGCCAATAATAAACAGAAGGACTACACAATTAGAATACACTGTATTTAAAGGAGTACTCACGACTTCTTTTATTGTCGGAACATATACATATATATTCACGGAACATATCATAAATACGAATTAATATTTTACTTAATCTTCGTCGACTAATGAATTTCAATTATATTAGCTAAAAATCTTATTGTATTTGATTTCATTTATGTATGATCAGATCAATCAATCTGTCAAGGTGCTTACTGTCCAATGCTTGGGGCTGTTTCTTTGGATGCTCGAGTTAATGAAGATGGAACTTCGGTTATCAACTAATTTGATAACAAGCTATGGAACTGTCACAGTGTTTTGATTATCTCTATCTTATTATTTGTGACTGATTTTTTTATTTTTTACTATCATGTAGATATAGTGACTACTTTGAAATAAACAATTTTTATTAATATTACTTTTTTTCAGTATATGGTTGTGGATTTCATTGAAATCATAAACCGATCAATTTTAGACCACCATTCAGAGCCTGGAAGCACTAGTATGGGACTCCTCAGTAGTGCGCATCCACCATTCCGCACGTGAGAATAGAACTCAGGACCTTCAGTCTCACACGCGAACACTTAATCTCTAGACCAGTGAACCGACATCCAACAGTGTTAATGCTCAACTACGATCGATCCACAACATTGCGCGACGTTTTCCACTGTCTTTAGTGGGTAATTGTCTTCTACACAACACGATCAAACTCCACTGGTCACAGATTCTCACTAGAACAATGGAAGATGGTTGAACAATATCTTGGATTGTTTGAAGTTAGATATTAACACCTTTGGATGCCGGCTCAGTAATCTAGAAGTTAAGATCTCATGCGCGAGACCTAAATTTCTGGGTGAGAATTCTCGGTGCGGGATCATGGATGGGCACTTTTTAGGAGTCTTGTACTAGGATGAAACGACCAACCAGTGTTCTCAGGTTTCCAATGGTAGTCTAACATTGATTTCAATGATATACTACTTTTAAGTGATAAGTACCATGATTCTTTTAATAGCTTTTTCAGTGTGTTGTTCGCTTTATTTACTGAACATAACATTTCGTGATTTTCCAGTTTATTAGGTTAGAAATGTTTCCAATGGTAGAAGCTTATCCCTCTGTAGATATTTTGTACAAACTTTTTATGTCTTCCTTTAAACTATTGTTTGTTCACATTATGTAACACACTAGAAAGCACTAATTCAAGGAAGAGTTCTACAACAGAAAAATGTGATAGAATACGACATTCTCATTTATATTCTTACTCAATAAAATTATTTTTGTTCATATATTTTCATATCCTACCATTCATCAAGTAGATAAAATTATCTAACCTGTTTTATATAATTATACCCTTTACATTATTTCCGTGAAATTGCCGTGGTTATCACAGTAACTAGATTTTGTTGTTGTCATGCCAACTAGTGCTGTTTCCAATGTTTCTATATTTTAATTGAATGAATTCATTTCTTTTCATTCCATGGGTTATGACTTTTGTTATTGCTCACTCCTATTGGGTTACTAATAAATGTAGTTGTTGTTCTTAAACACCTCAAAATGCTTCATGTAAAGCATCACAAATTTCGACATCTTTATCTTACATAGCTTGAAGATCGGAAATCCAGTTGTTTGAACGTCAAAATGGATTAATATGGTTCATCAAATGTATCTATAATAATTACAAACGCTTCATTATTTCTGACATAACTTGTACTTGTGATAAACGTTTTGTTATGTAGAAATTACTTTTTAATGATGTACTCAACACAACACATACTTTATGACACAGCGATAATGATCTTTGAGTCATATGCGTTATTGGTCTCTTGCTAGTTTAATAAAGCACATCAAATGGAATTAATTTACTCCATTACTTGTATGCTGTTTCTATTGTCAGTTAAAATGTCGCAGGTAAATCATACAAGCTAAACAACTAGCTACTTCGAGATGGTGGAGAAGATTTGTAGCAAACAAACTCGTCAAACCACTAGAAATAACGAAGCAAGATCAATGGAGAATGAAATCTAATGGACCAGTACTCCCTCGGTTCTACGGCAAACCAAAGATACACAAACCAAACATCCCACTACTTCCAATTGTAGCACTACCAGGAACACCAACGTACAATTTATCAAGAGAAATCTCAAGAATAGTGAAACATTTAGTAGATTCGTCGAACCACTCCATCAAATCAGCCACACAATTCCTTGATCAGATTAGGAACATTCAAATCAACGACGACGACCTAATGATATCCTTCGATGTAACAGCACTATTCACTTCAATTGAACCAAACTTAGCCAAAGAAACTCTGTCCTTGCTTCTAACCAACGACGAAAACCTCGCGAAATACACGAAACTTCAAAGTCAAAGCCCACTTGAACTCATAGGTCTATGTCTAACAACATATTTCCAATTCAATAACAAAATCTACAAACAAACAACAGGGACACCAATGGGATCACCAATATCAGGACTCATCGCGGAAGCAGTAATGCAACGACTAGAAACCACAATTCTACCAGTGGTCAAACCAAAAATTTGGATACGTTATGTAGACGACACATTCGTCATCGTCAAAAAGGAGGAACTAGAAAACACCTACAAGCAGATCAACAACGTCTTCAACGACATCAAGTTCACAATGGAACAAGAGTCGGACAACAAGTTACCATTCTTAGATGTATTAATCACCAGAACTGACACAGGAAAAACTAGAGACTCAAGTGCACAGAAAGCCGACCCACACTGATCAAATTCTCAACTACAATAGCAACAACCCAAGAACTCACAAAATCAACTGTGTACAAACTTTGTTCAAGAGGGCGAGAACACACTGCAATACAATCACAGCACGAAAAATGAAGAAAAACACCTGAAAACCATTCTTCAAAAGAACGGCTATCCAATCAATTTCATCAAAAAATACCAGTCGCATACACCATCAGAAACGAAATCAAGTATAAAAATCAACAAAAGGATCACCCTACCATACATAAAGAGCATATCGGAAACGACAACAAGGCTGCTGAAAACCTTCGGAATAGGTGTAGCCCACAAACTAACAAAGTCCTTCCACTCAATCTTATGCAAACCAAAAGATGAAATGGCAAAAGAGGACAAAACAAACATCATCTACAAGATAAATTGTACCAATTGCAACAAACACTATATTGTACAAAGCGGACGCCCCCTGCATCTTCGCCTACATGAACACCAATTAGCAGTCAAACGCCACGACATTTCTTCACTCATATCAATACACGTGGACAACTACGGACATACTGGGAAAATGTGCAGATTTTGGACAGAAGCAATTCCAAAAATACCAGAGAATTTTTAGAAGCTTGGCACTCAGGTCAATCTGCAATAAACAAACATAATGAAATCAATCCAATCTATCAACCAATCAAGAAAATTATGCAGGAACATAGGAACAAAAATCAAACCAATAGGAGATACAACCAAAACAAAGAAATAAACAATGACAGATTTAAGGTCAATAAGAACTAATCACCATCGAGGTGCAGAGGACAAGCTGTGAATCACATGTGGAGAAATTCAAACACTTCACTTCTACCCGAAGTTTGTGCTGATGATGTCGTTCAGAAGGACGATGAAAGCTCCACGACCAAACCATCCAGCTCAGAGAACAAACCAACATCAAAAACTAGCTACTTCGTCCCGTGCCTAGACTCCATAGTTCTTGGCGTTTTTACACTGAATCGCGTCTTCGAAACATTTTAACAAGCTAAACCATCAAAAGAAAAATTTATGTTAAACTGGACTGTACGTACTTAACTAAACATTTATTTGGGAGACTATAAATTATGGACGATTTTCGGGCGACGCTAAAGTGACCTTGATACAGCTCACCCGCCTACTAAGATGAAAAGAGAGTTATAAATTTGTTTGAGGAATTAGAATTAGGATTTAGAGTTATAATTTAGGATGAAGAATTAAAACAAGGTTTTCATCACAAACCGATATCTTCTATAATCCCAAAATACTGTTCTACTACATGGATAAATGAAGTTTGCGCAAAAATGCCCGACTTGCTATTCATAATTTTATTGATTTGTTCATAAATTAAAGTTTCTTCGTCTGAATACATGACTGATACTATAGTCAAAGATCTAAAGTTTTGTAGAACTTATTAGAACATCAAAAGTAGTAAGCTTTTATATATAGTAATTTATTCAATGAATTACATATGTTATTCGTATTACATTTTATGATCGAATTTCATTATATTCATTATAATTAGAGTCGAGAAAAAAATAATGGCATGTATTCTTTTTTTGATGAACAACTTGCCTATAAGATAAGAGTAAGATTTTGTTTGCAATTATAGCAGAATACTAGAAAATAATAAACATTCACATGACTTAAATCAAAAGTAGCTGACTTTTAAAATTTTGATAAGATTACATAAAGACGATTAGGATTTGCTTGTCAAAAACTTTACGAATTTAATTGAGCTGTATCACATAATAGAATGGAATATGAAAACGACAGATCTTGTGCTTTTATTTGACTTGCTGAATATTCACTGCTTCTCGAACTAGTGAAATGTTTAAATTCTAAGCACATATTTACATATATTTATTTCCATAGTTTACCATAGGAAAAACATGTATCACCCATCTTAAACAATCTGTTGTGTTAATAGAAACGTGATTAATGCTTTGAAGCTCCCATAAAAAGTAGAACTAACCATACGGATAGAAATACAGAGATTTCGGTGCTTGAAAGAAACACAATAATTCAATTATCAATAACGAATTAGCTATATTAACCTCTTGTCCGTATCCTCTCATCCTGTTCATATCTCAAGTTTCTGTTATTTATTTAGTTTTACACTACTGCGCTTTCATTATCTCTTACTTCGTAGAACTTTATACATTGCACAGTCACTGAACTTAAATTTGATATGGGGTATGGATTACATAATTATTTTTATCAACGTACATTATCTACATTTATTACAAATACATTTGTCTCAGACCTGACAATACCTTTAAATCAATACTATAAGTTCATAACCATAGAATCTAATGGTACTGTACAGTTATTTGTCTTGATCACGACCTCATTATTATCTATAAAAAACAACTTTGTTAGGTTAACCTATGAGATAAGTTTGTAAATTAATAACTACTCAGACTCTGTTGGCTTGTCACCTAATTTAACTAATTCTGTCTAAACTTAGCTAATGTGTATTTTAGTGAATATTTTTACAATAAAAAATAAAGATTAATCGAATCCAACCTGGCCTATATTTCTTCTCATCAAGCCATAGACTATAATTCACAATCACTTAATCTCTTCAATAACTTAATATTTTGTAGCACCAACTTACCAATTGATTCTTCAGAAACTCATGAATTTCTGCGTAAAGTTTATCACTTCCGATTTCTCCTTGTTGAAGCCAATTTGTATCGGATTTAGCTCTGAATTCCGCCATTGCATCTAAGTTAGTCCTGCTGGACACTTTCATTTGTTGATTATTATTTTCGTATTCATCTACTGTATCATGTTCGTTGTTTGGAATATGAGAATGATATGGCTGAATAATCAAAAGTAAACATAAATGAACAGTTGTGAAACGACTAATTGTTCGGTATGTATAAGCGTTTTAGCATAAGGTAAACAAATGTACAATAGTAACTAGATTATTAACGAAAGATTTAATCAATAAATTTAGCCGTTAAGTAGTTGCTATTAAAGTCTTAGTTTAAAGGTTGAGACTTTCATGAGTAGGTATCTAAGATCACTGATTAGCTAGAACAATCATTATTTCTTACTAGCTAATGTTGTAATTTTAAGCAGAGATGGATAAATCCTTGTTCAATTCATAATGTGTGGCAATAATAGTTAAAGAGTAGAGAAAGGATTTAAATTTATTTCCAAAAATAATGTTAACGTAGAAAATCTATTTCGTACTCAATTTTCCCTTCTGTTAAAGACTTACCTGCTGATCTATTTTTAATTCTTCGGAAAAATCTAGAAAGCGAGCACTTTGTAACTGTATAGTGAGACTTGCATTTTCCTAAGAAAAAACAACAAACCATTATGAATTCACTACTAAAATTTGAATAAATTTTGCATAAATTCCGATATAGGAGTTTCATCTTTACTTACTACTGATGTGAAAGTATATTTTCTATTGATTTAAAAATTCTAGGAAATCCGTTTACGTACGAAGACGGGAATGACTATGCTGCTTTTAATATTCACTTTGTAATATCATTTCGAAACTATCTAGTGTCATTGGATTTGACTTGTGACTAGTAGTGGAGTAAAGGGTGTACGTTTTCTTCGGTACTTTTCAGGTGGTTGCACCTCAATCCCAACTCTGAAGTTAAAATCAAGAATTGAACTCAGTATCTCACTAAAAACTTCAATACATTACCTAGTAGACACCTCATTTAACGGGTATGGATTTATGCACGTAAGGTTCTGGGATTCCTAGTTATT